TCTGCTTTTTATGTTCTGCTCCACTTGACATTTAACATAAAACTCATCAAATCGAATAAAAAATGCCTATGCTTTACAAATTTTGAGAATAAAGTTAGTTATTCGCTTTTTTTCTTCTAGATATACCTGCAAGATTAGTAAAGCCTATAGAAAAATTGTTGATTGGTGAAGAATTTATTGAAATGTTTAAATTTATTGAATATAAAAACAGGAGTCTCTTATTTGATTACATCTTTTTGGAAAAGACATTTTCAACTGACTCTAATTATAAATATATACATATATATACATACATACCAGCGGGTATTCCCCGGCGTTGTCCGTGGCAACTTTTGTTAAACTTTTATGTATAACTTTTTCATCTAGTTCCCGCCTGTTACAAATTTAATCTGTTTTGAAATATGTTTAAAGTACATTGATTTTTTAACGGTTTCCGTTCATGTTAGTCTTGTGGTGAGAGTCTTGATGCCGAAATATAAACATTCGTTCATTTAACCTTTGACCCGTCTAAGCAGAAAAGTTTCATACAGATTTTTTCGCGATTTTTCCACTCGTACGGGTGGAATTTGCCTAAATCCCGTCTTACCGTGCAGCTTTACCTTATATGAAACTTTAGTGAAAGTGTCAGCTACCTAATGCTCCAATCAGTCAGTCAGTCAGTTAGTCAGTCAGCCATTCATTCAATCAGTCAGATTAAACAGTTTTATATATAGAGATATATAATAATTATTATAATAGAGCTTGCAATTGGTCATCGAGATCCAGTGCTGAATGCCTGGCTAGTATATAATAATGAAAAGAACAATAATGACAAGAACATTAATAATAATAATATTAATAAATAATAATAATAATAATGATAATAATAATAAGAAACATATTTGACGTTTTATCAAAACTACGTTCAGCTTTCATTTGAAAATATCAATCAACAATAAGAATATATAAAATAGAATAAGTTTATGTAAATGTCTTTCTATTCGCTTATTTGTAAATTGCTTTGGCTTATTTTAAGAACGATCGTTTATGGTGGCCCAGCCATAACTGGATTGTTTAACTGATCAACTTGTGCCCACCCACTAAGTCAGCCAGCAGATATCGCCCGACACTAAAAAAATAGACGGTTCGCGCCAGGCATTCATCCATTCGGGCATTCAGGCATTCAGCCATTCATACATCAGCGTCACATTGAGACAGTTTATTTGTTTAATTTAAAATGGGAATTTGTTGCTTTTAATGGAATATCATTCGCAGTTGGCACTTGTGGGTTCCGTTTGTGCCACTGTTTGGCATCAATCAACTGTGGAAAATTATTGAAAGGCTGGCGATTTGGGGGCGAGCAGTGCCACAAATTGTTTGGCATTCATTTGTCATGCCGGCAATAATACGTAGAAAATTAAAGAATTGGGTAAAATGAATTATTGGCGCTTTTCGGTGGGCCGCATATAAATCAAAACGCAATGCCCAGGCCGAGGAATATCACCTGTTGCCGGCAACAGAGACACAACGACACGAGTTGCTCAATCAATTTTACAGGCGAAAACTTAAGCCCGGCCCCCGAGCCCAAACGAAATCGAAAACGAAAGCCTTGCATGATATAAGAGCGATCGCTGGTGAACCATCTATCATTTATCATCTATCATAATGCAGTTTTAGGCCCGAATCGAGAATTAATCCGTCAAAACAGTTGCCCGACGAGCCGCTGCCTGCGATTGCCAAATTCACAATCGATCAACTGTGCAGCTCTCTCTCTCTCTCTCTCTTTCTCCCGCCACATTCAAATGTTGGTCAGCCCAGAAGCTTTGCTGCAGCTTTGCCACCCAAATCTCTCCTCCCCCTGGCAGCGGGCAGCCCCAAGCTGGTCAAGCAAATTAAGTGCTTTAGCTGGTAAGGGCCTTTGATGGATGTGCGCGAGCTTCCAGCTGAAGCCTTCTCAGCCGGACGCGTCAGACAATGCGGAATTGTCTGCCTGTGTGTGTGTAAGTGTGTACTTTAACGCTTATCAATTACAAAAGGCGGCGACCGTGCAATTAGCTAGTCAGGCCAGTCAAAACGGCGGCAATGATCAAAGCTTGCCGCCAGCTTTGAGGCATGCCGCCGCTGGCGCCCCCCCTAAAAATAGAGAAGGAATACCCCCACCCAAGCCAGCCACCATTCCGGCAGTTGGTTAACATTAGTTCCGTTACATTTGCCGCATAATCCGGGCGAGTTTTGCGCAACACGATTCTCGCATTTCTCGGGCTATGCCAATGCATCTGGCCTTTTTCACGCCAAACCAATTTGCAGCCAAAAACCGCAGCAACAACTACGGCAACTGTTGACGTCATAATTATGTTGTTTCTCTTGTTGTTTCTCTTGTTGTTGTTGCGCGTCGCGCACTACTTCATATTTTTTATCGCCTGCCGATAATTGGCGGCGCTACGCGTTGATTCAAAATAAACAATGACCCACAACCCGAAACTGAAACCCAGCCCCACCCCTCGCCTCGCATCGCCTCGCCTCGCCTCGCCTCTACTCTTTGCCCCAACACAACTGGCAGTTGTTCTCGCTGTTGTTGTTGCTGTTGTCTGTTGTTGACTGCGGCTGTTGGCGACTCACGTCGCTGTCAAAAATTAACAACCACAAAATCTGAGTTATTATTGGTGCAAAATATTTGCACTATGTACGTGCAGCAACAACAAACAAATTGTTAAATAAATTAAAATGTTATCGTGTTATAATAAATTGTGGACCCACATAAATAGCCAGCCAAGAATGCGTTATTATTAAATATTATTATATTTTATATACATATACATCTATCCTATTATGATCCACATTTGGCTATCAAATATGCAGGCTGACAATAAGTGTGTGCTTAGTGACTGCTCAAAAACATCTGATATCATATCGTATCGGAAATATGCCATAATCTATATGGCAAGCAAGACTATGCTAGCTGAGAGTGCTGGACTGCAAGATATCCTGTAAGCATGTCGTAAAAGCCGTTAAAGGATGTACGAAAAATTGTATAGAGTTCCATATTTGTCAGTTTGAGGTTCTATCGATCAGTTATCGAAAAATTTAAGTACATTTACATATTATTACACTCAGCGTACATATCGTTTGATGGAAAATTCAATCCTGAAATCGAACAGCCGGTCTGATTTGATCCTATGATTACTTTAACGTTCCGAAAAGTCTTTTTGTATGATTTTTAATTGGTACAGGGTATTTAAAAAATCGATTATTATCGATTGCTTGAAAATGGCGCAAGTTATCGATTATCGGAAACAAGGGCAGGCAATAGAAGAACCTACGTGCAAAATTTCAGGTCTCTAGCTCTTATAGGTTCTGAGATCGACGCATTCATGAATACGGACGAACAGACAGACGGATAGGCGGACAGCCGGATGGGCGGACAGCCGGACATGGCTGATCGACTCGGCTATTGATGCTGACCAAGAATATATACGCTATGGGATCGGAGATGCTTCCTTCACCCTGTAACAAACATTTGCCCAACCCAGAGGCTAAAAATGAAATAATATGAATATTTTATTTAATATTAAAACTATATTAATATTAATATAATATTACAATTCATCTTAAATTAAAAGATATGCCATTTGTTTGTGGTTTTCATTTACATTTAATTTTTTATGTAGATGTGTCCATTCCTCTAATGGGGCGTATATCTTCGGATATTTTGGATTCCTATCAATGAGCTGCCTGCATACGCTCAGCTCCCAACGCGATGGGTGTTCCCCATTCTCCGTGGCGTTAATTGGCCCAAAAATTATATATCTATGCACACACTGGCAGGTGTTTGTGAGTGTATCTTATTGTATTGTTTTTCTTTCTTTTTTTTGAGTGTAGATATTGTTGTGTATTTATTTATTTTCAGTTGGTTCGTAGCCGTTGCGAAAAAAAATAAACATAGAGAATGCTTTGTTAGTTAGTCGGAGATCGTTCGAGTTGAGTTTTTATGCACTTTTAATGGCCACCCAACCGCGGCCGAGGGCGCGGCCGGGAGCTGAGCGACGAGCGCGGCTGCTAAATAATTCAAGAGTGGGCCATAAATACCAGAAGCATTGCTCATAAATCTATCAGTCGATTTGCTTGCCGGCAATCGAATTGGATGCTTAAGCGTTTTATTCATTCAATATTTGTTTTCATTTGAGATGTGCACAGCACTTGCCACACTCGACCGAGATAGAGAGAGCGTGAGAGTGGCAGAGTATCTTGCAGATACAAGATATATACTGAAAGATTCTTCAGCTGGGCAATACATACTATGTGTGTGTTTTTTGTATTTTCATTGCCTCGGCACCCCCCCCCCCCCCCCCCTGGCTGATGTGCCCACAAATCAAAACATCTGTCAGTCAGCGCTCGCGTCCTGACAACAACGCTGAGATACAAATTATCTAAATTGTATCTGCACAGCGCAAATGCATCTTGTGGATTTGTTTGTTTGTTTTGTTTGTTTTGCCTTGCTGAGGCTTTTGTTGCCTTCCCAAGTGCTCGTCTGCTTGTCATGCAGCCCCCGCAACGCCCCTCCCCCTGCCGCCTTCACCAGGCCACTCGATTGGCCCGTGCTGAGTGCTCCGCTCCCGCCGCGCCGCCTCTTAAGCGAGGGCGTGCACCGTGGTGAGAGATTTTAATTTAAACATTTAGCTGACAGATTTATCAGGTATTAGACGATACATGCGTCAACGATCAGCCCAAAGCAACGGCCTTTGCCCCCAAAACAATTTGTGGAATGGCCCAAGGCAAAGTTCAATAAAATTATAATTAATGTTTAAAAATCAATTTTCACAATGAAAAGCAGCTCCCGTTGAAAACACGAAATGTTGCTCAAATAAATAATAAATAAATAACTATGGTTTTATTTTTAAATATGCGGCAAGTTTATTTTTGCTTATTCTCTTCATATTTCTATCTTTATATAGATTGCACTTAACTTTGTTTACCTTCTAGTTAACTTAAATTACAAAATTGAATCTTATTTTTTTTTTTAGATAAAATATAATGAATGAAACTGACATGCAGACTCGAGGCCGCGATCGGGTTAAGCGACCCACTTTGAGTGCCATTCGTATCTTAATCTGTGCGCCAGCGCCTCAGTCATCCATCAATCAAAAGCTGGCGGATGTCCAAATGACTAAATGACTAGCTGGCAGGCTGGCTGGCTGGCTGGCTGGTAGGTTGGCCAACTGACTGACTTTTGGGCTGAGTGAATGTTGCGTGCGCGCTCAATGACGCAGCGAGCACTTGCTGCTGCCGCACCGCCCGCCGCCCACCTGCCCCCCACACACACAGACACACACACGCCAAACCTTTAGTGGTTAATCAGTTGTAGATGAACAACGCACAGCTCTGACATTTGGCCAACGTCAACTGGCGATCGATCGATCAATCAGTTAACCAGCCATCCATCCATCAGAATACACCACACACACACACACACACACACAGCAACAGTGATATGAAGAGTTGGTAGCTGTGTGATTGATAGCTGAATGCCAGGCTACCAAAAAAACAATATCTTATACAATACAAAATAAGTTAATACGTTGTGACTGGATATTCCCAACTGCGCAATGCTCTGTTTAGAGTGAAAAATGTCTGCTTGACTAGGTAAGTGGCTTTTAAATAATGTGTATTTTCAACTGTAACATTAAAATTGTGGGACATGAATGTTGTTTTTAAAAAAGATCATCTGCTCATAATTTTTTTTACAATATATATAGATAGAGATTGAGATATACAGATATTTAAGATATAATCTGTTGTTTCGCTGAAAACTCTAACATCTTATGTGACAAATGATTAGACAGTAAAAACTCTCTTGGGCGGACAGCGAGTTTCAATTTATTTTGGTCCGCTCAAGAGGAGTTCCTACCAAATAGATCTGCCTCAATAGATCTGCCTCAATAGATCTGTCCCTTAGAAGAGTTCTAACTGCTAAATCTAGAAGTTGTTAGCTTCAAAAGATAACAGACAAAGCCAATAAACTCGTTTTGCCTTTTTTGGGAACAGCGTATAAAAGTGGGAATAATAACATAGACGATGACGCCAGAGGCCTAACGCAAATTTACTTAACCGCATTATTTTCGATTTCGTTTTATGCCGTTTAACTTGGCCCTGATAATGGGCTATGAAATCGAAGTCGAACGTCACTATTTCAGCCACTGATACCGTTAATCTAACTGATTAAGAGTGTGCGTTTAATCGCAAATGAATAAAGTCATATGAATACACTCGACAATCACAGCGAAAAATACAGTGAATGTCGAGTAAGCCAAACAAGTTAAGAAAATAAACAGAATTACTAAGTGAATTTATAAATAAAAGAAATTATTTAATAATATAAAAAAAAAGAAATAAGAACATATGGATTTAATAATTTATTTATTAATATTCGAACACTTCAATTTGTATAAGTTTTTGACATGAGAATGTTTGCGAATTGTTTCTTGCATACTTTCTAGCATAAACATATTCAATTCAATTATGTATAGCTTTTATTTTGAAAATCTTTTGAGTTTAAAGTTCTCTTAAGCGGACACCTACGTTTCCAACATATTTAGCCTATTAAAGGAGAAACATAATTCGAAGATAACATAAATGTGCCTATAGTCATATATTCCCCGATTTTTATTTATTGGCATAAATGGAAAATTGTGTTCTTAACACCATTATATTTTTGTTTTTGGGTTTTTTTTATTTGTCGGCAACTTCAAAAAAAAAGAAAGCACCGATAATTGGTTCAATAACTCTAAATCGAGAGCTAGCTCGATAACAATATATCGAAAGCTAGTTCGATAACTACAAATCGAGAACTATTGTTAGCTTTGAACGATACTTTTCCGTCTTGAAAATACCCTACATAAATTAAAAGCCAAAGCTGAATGCATGCCAAAAAGGTCGCAGTCATCCATTTGTTGGTCTCACATGAAACTTTGACTAAATATCAACCGTAAAATGAAATGGTACTGAACGCTATGAAAAGCGTGAAACTTGGTTAGAAGCGTTAGAAAATTTCACATGTTGCACGTAAGAAATAAAATTTTATTTTATTCATTTCTCATTTTCATGAAATGCAAAATACAAACAACAATTTATAAAAGAAACGGTAAGAAAAAAAGAACAAAATACTCTACGGGCTTGGGGCACAAACAAAAGAAAACTTGACGAGATGAATAAATGAGGGAATGTTTGTGCAGGAGCAAACATAACTTTAAATTTGTATTACCACCCAGAGCCCAATGAGCCACACACACACACACACACACATATCACCAAGGCATTGTTAGGACGAAAGAAAAGAAATGAGAAAAAAAAGAGCGAAAACCTGAATTCCATTTGGCCAACTCCCAGAGACCCGCCACCAAAACGCCCACACACACACACCTCAGCACTGAGCCATGCAGTTTAGACTCTCTAAATGAAATGCTCAAGTGTGCACGGAATTTTGATTTCGCCGCCAATCTGCCACCCACCCAGCCCGCTTTTGGCCTGTTTCCCGCTGATGTGGCTCCGGCATCGCTCTCCCGATTCCGTTCGTCATGTCGTTCGCTTGCAAATCAATTTAATGTCAGTCATTTTGCCGCTAAGTGGGAAATTTTTGAAATTTCATCAAAAATCCGTTGCGTACCCTCCGACAAGGCCCGACAGCAGCCAACCCCCCAACCCCCCAACCCCCAATCCCCAACCCAAGCGGACTCAACTTGGAACATATGCTGCTCGAGGGAATTGGCTGCACTGAGGTACTTTTTTTTTTACTGGGGCTTGCTTTACGTACCGTTGCCTGTGGAGAGTGGGGAGGAGGGGGTTTAGGGGGCGGGGTAACATTTCGCATCTAAGCGAAACACATTTGAATGTAAATTTCAGACGCGTTGCATGTCCATGAATTCTCAGCCAATGCCGCGTCCTGTGCAGGCTGTTGTGGAGTGGGCAGAAAGCGAGGGGTTTGCGGTGGTTAGGAGAAGGGCACGTTATTTGCCCTTTGCTGTTGTGCATGTGTGTGTGTGTGTGTATGTGTGTGTGTGGCGCGTTCTTTGCACTTTTTCCCTTGGCTTCTTGTGTGGCACGAAAGAAAAAAAACAAATATTGTATTAAAATGCTGGAAAGCAGCTAAAACGCATAATAGTAAAATTTTATGTTATCACCAGTGTGAGGAAAACACGTCAGGCAGTTAGTCAAATAACACAGCCAAATGGCCAAAACGAAAGAAGAACGCACACATAACACACGCACACACACACACACACGCAACACACACATAGCGCACAGAGCGCCAATGAAAATTTAGATGACGCTGAACGAGAAATTGCGAAGATCCACAGATACAAATGGCACAAACATATGTACGATTCCGATACATACATAGGTTCATATATATGCCACATATACATATATAAATATACTAGCGGGCATAACCCGGCCATGCCTGTGGTACGCATGAAATAAATTCTCTCAAAGATCTTTGAAAATGAGGTTGAAAGCGATCGGACGGTAAACAAAAATCTTTCATACAACCGTTTTTCGCTAATTTACCACTGTTGCGGGCGAAATTTCACAAATCTTATTTGGAGCTTTCATAATAAGTTTGAAGCAAATCGGATAAACCTAAAAACTAGACGAATGTTGCCAGATTTAGATGCCAAATTTATCTAGAGGCCAAATCATGAACAAAGAGCCAGACCTCGTAAAAATCGGATGAGATTTCACTGAGTTATGGGGTGGGAAAATTTGTCCTATGTCTATATAGGATATTTGAGAGTCCCATTTTCACATGAATTTCGACCAAAAATAATATTGCCAGATTTTGATGCCAAATTGAATTAGAGGCCAAACAATGATCAAAAAGCCAATCCTTTTGAAAATCTGATGAGATTTCACTGAGTTATGGGGTTGGGAAATTTGGACCTATGTTTATATAGGATATTTGAAGGAAGCATTTTCACATGAATTTCGACCAAAAATAATGTTACCAGATTTTGATGCAAAATTGATTTAGAGGCCAAACAATGATCAAAAAGCCAATCCTTGTGAAAATCGGATGAGTTTTGACCGAGTTATGGGAGTGGGAGTACCTTCATCACATAAGGTAACTACAGTTCTATGGTTGGATTTGTGCGCTGATCACCAATCTGTCATTCAATAAGCCAGTCAGTCATTCAGTCAGGTCAAACAGTTTTATATATAGAGATATAAATAGGACAAACATATTTATATTTATGAGGCACTATATTGTAGACTGTATATTATTAGTAGGATGCTAAAGCAAAGAATAACAAATTAGCTATTAAAAAAATAGGACCAAAATTGTCTTCATCTAAGTTATTTGTACTAAATGCTGGCATTACATATTGTTAGCATTTCCATTGATTATCATTTTCTTCTCTAACGGAGGTTACGTTAATTTTCTTACGAATGGCGTGAAACATTTTCGATCTCATTAAGCATTTATATATTGAATTCTGCATTAGCTGATATGACTCATCTTTGTGTGAGCTAAAAAGGCGTTCAGACGTATGCTTGGATTTAATTGCTATAGAAAAGATTTGCTTGAATGATATTATAAAAAATGGGGATTTAATACTATAACTTATTTTGTAATGAAAGAAATCAAACAAAGATCTAAAAATTTCATATAATATATAACAATTTGGCTTACCCAAATATATCACAAACTCACAATATCTGCAGATATTCCCAATAGAGCGTTTTTTTTTTGGACTTCAAATCATTTGCGTTTGAATGCGTTAAGCGTCCATTTGGAAACGATGCTTAAAATGGAGGGAAACAATTGTAGCTCAAATGCAATTGGAAAACTAAAAGCCGAAACTGTGGGGGCAAAAAAAAAAGGGTCAACAAAAGGGAGAAAATAAAACGAAACACATCAAATAAAATCAAACGCAAAACAAGCGGGAAAACATTGTTTCAAATTGACCAGCGGTAAAAAGCGCTTTTGGATCTGCCCAACGGCTGCTGATGAGGCTGCGAGAATGTCGAAAAGGCGTGGCAAATGCCCGCCAATTCAGGCGCAACTAATTCCACCCGACCAACCAACCCCTCAACCCACCCACCAAAACGATGCGTTGCCAACTGTGAAACTATTCAGCTCTTTTTTTTTGGGGGGGTGTCCATGTGCAACGTCTCCGGATTTGGTTCAGTTCGGTTGAGAGATTGGGGGATTTGGAGGATTGGTTCGGTTTTCGTTGCGAATATTTTATTGTGCGAAAAATGATTTTTTATTTTCAATTTTCTGGGCTGGAATTTTTTGGGGGCCGTTAGAACGCGATAGAAATGAAAGTAAAAGTTTTCACAGCCGACCGAATGGCAAACCAATTTGATTTTGAATACGTTATGAGGCGCAAAAAGAGAGTGTGAAAAAATCCGGAAAGCCGTAAAAAAACACAAAAACACAAAAAAAAAACAACGAACAACGAACCAAGCAACAGCCCACAATAAACATTCAGATTCACATCGACATCAATTGTTTGCAAGGGTTTCAAGTGCCAATTTTCTGATTGTTTGCCAGCCGCACTAAAAACTAATGATTTTTCATATGTTTGTTCAATGGATCGTACCGAAAGCCCCCAACCATCCAAATCGTGCGAAAAGTACAA